AGAGCTTGTCATACTTCTTATGGGACAATGAACGCTGCTTGAAAGGCTGTATCCTCAAGAAGACCGCATCTCCCACCTCAAAAGAAAGTTCATGCTGATGATGATCTGTATAAGTCTTCATTCTATGTTGGGCTTTGTTCAAATTATCCTTGAGAAGTTGCATCATATGATCTCTAGTTTCCAGTTGGTCAGCAAGCTTAGCAATGTGAGTTTCACGTTCACCCTTATGCTATGCTTGGTAGGAGGGAAAAGTGAGGGGAAAACAACATTTTCCCTTACTTTGCTACAAAGAGAAAAGTGGAGGGAGGAGAAAAGTGAGAGGAAAATAACATATGGGACCCACATGTTTTTACCTCCAACTTTTCTCTCCAAATATGGGGAGATTTTGGAGAGAAAATTTCATTTCCAAATTTTCCTATCAATTTTTTCATTGCTGCCTCTTGCTTGCCTTTATTTTTATCATGATATTTGTAGCGTAGTTACATTTATAATATGAGCTTTTGTTAAACAAGCAGCATATGTAATTTAGACTAATTAAACAAATACTAATTTTAAATTTTCAAGTTAATTTTCAGTTAAGTGCTTTATATTTAGTTGTAGTTTTAAATTTTAGGATTATTATATATTAATAATTTAATAAATAAAATTTTAAATTGGATAAAATAATTTTTCGTCAATATTGAATGAAATAATTTTTAATTATATTTTTGTTCAGTTAATAATATATAATAATTTTTATTATATATAATATGTTAAAATATTGAATTTTATTATATAAATATTTTTATAGATAATAAGGTTACTATTGTTTATGTAGAATTAACAACTTTTTTCTCCTCCCAATTTTCTCTCGCTTAGTCAAGCACAATGAGAAAAAATTGTATCCCTCCCATTTTCTCTCCTTATTTTCCACTGTGAGCCAAGCATAGCATTAATGAAAGGATGAAGTGGAGGCAGGTCCCTACCATATACCACTTTGAAAGGGGTAGTATTGCTAGAAACATGGAAACTAGTGTTGAATGAGAATTCTGCCCAACATAGGAACTTACTCCAAGAACGTGGTTGCTCATGCGCAAAACACCATAGATATGGTATGCAATACTCATCTTAAGGCGAGTTTGACTGAGCTTAAATTGTTCTTGCCAAAAAGAACTGAAGAAAAGCGGGTCTCGATCTGATAGAACAGAACGAGGCATGCCATGCAAGCAAACATTTTCTTCACAAAAAATAAGCGGCCATATTTAGGCACTAGAATAAGGATGTGAAAGGGGAATGAAATGAGAGTATTTACTCAACCTATCAACTACCACCAGAATAGTATCATAACCACCAGATTTAGGCATCCAACAATAAAATCAAGGGAGATATCTTCCCAAATTTGTTCCGGAAGCGATAAAGGTTGCAACAAGCTTGTTGGCAATAGAGTTTCATATTTGTTCTCCTGGCAAGTAAAGTACTGTTGAACCAAAGCTTTTACATCATATTTCATTTTAGTCCAATAAACCATACCTATTAAAATGCTTGAGAGTTTTTAAGAAGCCCCCATGACCACCTGAAGTTGTTACATGTGCCTCTTGCAATAGCTTGGAGTGAAGAGATGAGCTCCGGGGAATGACTAAGCACCTATTAAAATATAATTTCTGCTCAACTGGACTGTAATCGGGATGAGAATTGGGATTTTCTTTCAAAGCAACAACGATAGGAGCTGTAAAAGAGTTTGATGTCAAAGCTGCTTGTAATTCTACGAAATCCAAAGGCACAAGAATCACCAAGCGGAGAAAATCAGCATGTTGTGGCCTTTTGGATAGTGCATCAGCCCCAATATTCTCCTTATCAGCCTTATATACAATGTAGAAATCGAATGGAAGTAGCTTAAGGATGAGACACTGTTGAGTTTTTGTTAAAGTTCTCTACTGCAACAGATTTTTTGAGCTGCTATGGTCAGATTATATTGTAAAATGCCTTCCTAACAGATAACAACGCCACTTTTGGAGTGCCAGCACTAAAGCTAATAGTTCTCGATCATACACTGACTGAAACTTGTTAGAAAAAAGATAATCCCTTGCTATAAAAGGTGATGGGGTGGTCCTGTTTCATGATGATGGCCCCCACACCTTTCATCAAAGCATCACACTCTAAACAAACTAAGCTGTGAACTTCGGAAATTTTAAAACAGGGGCTGTAATGAGATAAAGCTTAAGATTCTCAAAAGCTCTTTGAGCTTCTAGGGTCCAGCAAAAAGCACTCTTTTTAGTTAATGCAGTAAAGGGACAAGCAATAATACCATAATTCTTGACAAACCTTCGGTAATAACTTGTGAGTCCTAAAAAGCCTCGAAGCTTAGTAACATTTGTAAGTACTGGCCATTCACTTACGGTACTAATCTTTTCAAAGTTCGTTTCCACTCCTTGTGCTGAAACTTTATGCCCTAAGGACACGTGGGTCTTCTTGAAGTTGGCATAATACGATTGTTGTTGCAAGGTAGAAAACACCAATCGGAGATGATCTTCATGCAGTTTTGGAGTGGGACTGTAGATTAGGATTTCATCAAAGAAAGCCAACACAAATATCTGAAGATAAGGACGAAAAAGATTGTTCATGGCTGCTGGAAAAGCGGCTGGTGCATTTGTCAGTTTGAAGGGCAGTACAACGAATTCATAGCGTCCACTATGAGTTTGAAATGTTTTATGAATATCTGTTGGCAAGACCCGTATTTGGTGGTAACTGGCTTTTTGGTTTGAGGTTTGAGGTTTGACGTACTCCTTGAAGTTTATACCTTGCTATCAACCCAGAAAATCAAGAACATTTCGTTCCAGCTGGCTTTTATGGTATTTGAGGAAGCTAACCATTTGATTCCCAACACTAGATCTGTTCCTGCAAGAGAAAAAGGGTAAAAATGTTGTTTAATGGTCAAACTTGGTAGCTTCCCATCCACTTCTTTGCATACACAATTTCCTCAAACCACACAATCTGTATGTCAAAAGTGGGAATAGAACAAGTAGGCAAGTTCAGCTCTTGCACCAACGAGTCAAAGATGAAGTTGTGGGTCGACCTACTATCCACAAGGAGCAACACTTCGCGATTAAGCACCTAACCACAACTTCATAGTTGTTGCTGAAATATTACCCAAAATAGCATTAAACAAGATTTTTGCACTTCCCGTAATCTCGTCTACAACCTCTGCCACAGTGTTGGGATTCTTAGAAATGGGTTGGCTATCCTCATCGATCTCCAAGAGTGAGAGAGATGAGGATTTGTTGCGATGCCTAGGCCGGAAGACCTTCCTACAACAAACTTGCAGCATTGCTATTCGGTGTCTGAGAGCAGTGATTGTGGCTGGATGGTGTTTGTTGGTCATGAGATCGAAGAAGACACAGGAGAGTTCCTTAATGTGTTTGGCGAGAAGGTTGAGGCAAAACCCTATTGGTCACGTGCAAACATGCGGAGGCATTAGTAAACCGAGTTTAGGTCAAAGAAGAGCTGGGCTTGGGCCCATGTTGTAGTTGTGACTTCTCACATTCTAAGGCTAAACTAGCAGCCTTATACATTGTGTGATGTTTCTAAATACGCACATCAAATTTTAAGTTATCTCTTGAGTCCTCTAAGAAAAATGCCTAATAGGCAGTGTTCTGGCCAGTTATGAACTCGAGCAACTCTCTTAGCAAATTCCTGGCGATACTCTTGAATTGATCCGGTTTGCTTGATGGTGGCCAGGTGTTCATTAGGATTTTGATACTTTGGAGGGCCATAGTGTTCTTGCAATGCTTTAACTAACTCATCACAATAAATCAAGGTACGTTTTGAATTTATCCATGAGAATAAATCCAAAGCATCCCCTTCTAAATACATGGAAGCCATATCAACCTTTAAGTCTTTTGATGTTTGATAATACTTGAAATATTTCTCAACCTTTAAAATCCAACCATGCTGGTCACCTTCACTAAATTTTGGGAATTCAATTTTGGCGTGTGGCGGACATGGACCTCTTTTATAGTTTGACTCTTCATCACTATCCTCATCCTAGTGTGAGCGTCTACGATAGCTTCCTATGGGTCTTTTACCTTTGTTGGCAGATACCTCAAATGCTTCAACCTTCTCTTTTAATAAGTCAAGTGTTTCAAGTTTGGATGCAATGATGGCTAAAAGGTCTGATGCAAACGGGTTTTCAGTAGTTTGACCTTGGGGTGGGTTGTTAGAGGAGTTAGCATGATCAGTTTCGTTTCTGTAGCTTGTGGTCACCGTGATGATTGAAAGAGGCTTGGATACGTATTTGGTAGAAGTTCAAGACAATTATGAAGGACAAGGAAAAATCTATTAAATTAAATAGAGCAAGAATCTCACTCTAATGAACTTAATAGCCAAATAGGAGAGTCTCCTAGGATAAACCAGGTTTATTACTCAATGATATCCTGCTGTTATAAAAGCGAGGATATTTATAACCATAAATCACAATTAAACAAATCAAATAATGCAGAATATTAGCCTAAAAATCAGAAAATAACTGACTAGCAAGTGGGTACCTCACTAACGAAGTTAAGGTCCTATTATTGAGCTAGCAACAGCAAAACAAAACAATAATTAATTAAAATAACAGCAAGGAATTAATTTAAATCAGATAAATCCCTCATAATCTGCATAACAGCATCAGATTCTGTTGTCTTCCTCCTCTTTCTGCGTTGATAAGTGATTATGGGTCTGTTATGCTGACTTGGACCCTTGTCACATTAAAAAAAGATAATTCTCTTTAAAAGTATTTTTATTTGATGTGATCTAAGGGATACAGAAATGAATAGTATCAGTTATCTTGTGTATATAGTCAACAATACAAAACATAAAATATATATTATTATTGATACTGTAGATTGATGAGACATTAAGTATAGTAATGGGTAGTAAAAAGTTGATCTTATTTTTATTTCATATATCTAGAGATTAGACTAGTTTGGCATATAAGTAGTTACTTGATATTTTCTATGCAATTGTTTTTTGTGCATTTTCAGGTTAAAGCTCTCTATGTGAAAAACATACCTGAGAATACTACTACTGAACAACTGAAGGAACTGTTCTGTCGACATGGAGAAGTAACAAAAGTGGTCATGCCTCCTGGGAAATCTGGAGGCAAACGTGATTTTGGTTTCATTCATTTTGCAGAGAGGTCAAGTGCATTGAAGGCAGTAAAAGATACAGAAAAATATGAAATAGATGGTACCCTTTTTGCGTAATATATATATGTGTGTGTGTGTGTGTGTGTTTATTTTTTCTCTATGCAAGTCTGTCTTTTGATTTTTTATTTAATATTTTATCTACAAGTAGAGTGCTATTACTTACCAATATCAATATATCTTCAATATATATATATATATATATTATAAAATCTGTAGAAAATTGCATTATTCATAAGCCATGGACTGTGGTCTACTCTTCACACTCCATGTGATGATGTATGGAAGGCCTACACCTAGTTTCTATTTGAATTCAAACTATCACTATTCACTAGTCTTACGATCTTATCTGTTAAACATGTTAGTTTGTTCATTATGCTTTCTTAAATATGCTTGATGGATTTGAACTACAGGCCAAGTGTTGGAAGTTGTTCTAGCAAAGCCTCAAACCGAGAAAAAATCTGATGGAGGTCATGCCTACAATCCTGGGCTCCATCCACATCCTGGTTATGGTGGTTTCTCGGGAAATCTATATGGTTCTGTGCGGTCTGGATATGGCGTTACTGGTGGTTATCAACAAGTAAATAATATACCTGCAGATAACTTAAAGTCAATGTTTTTCCAGCTTGGTTCATTCCATTTTCTAATCTTGTTGCAACTTGTGGGTGTTTGCATATGAACAGCCGGTGATATACGGTAGGGGTCCTATGCCAGCAGGAATGCAGATGGTCCCCATGGTATTACCTGATGGTCGTATCGGCTATGTCCTGTAAGTTGCTACCATTCATGGGCATGGATTTATTCTCTCGTTCTATCTTGTTGAAAACCTTAATTTCTCAATATTGGGATATTTTGCAGTCAACAGCCTGGTGCACAGATTTCAGCACCCCGACCCCGCAGGAACAATGGTCCAAGCAGCCAGCCAGGGCGAGGTGGAGGCAGTGGCAGTGATGAGGGCAATCGCAGTAGAAGGTATCGACCTTATTAATGATGGCAGGCAGAGACCCAGATGCTTCTTGAGGCACCCTGCTGTTTGGTTGATTGTTAGGGGCTTTTAGGAACCAGCAACTTGTAATTGCTTCGCTATATATGCATCGAGAAGATTTTATCTCAACCCCTACTCATTGCTAAGAAGATGGAAAAGAGGAGAGAGCATATAAACATATAGTTAAGGATTAGGGTCATGGATAGTCTCTTAGGATGTGGTCGGTGTCTTTTCTGCTGTTAGATGAATCAGCTGGGTAATTCAGGATCTCTTCTGCTTTGTAATCCTTCTCAGTTCTCAGCTATTTTTTTAATAACCAGTTTAATAGTTTGGTTTCATTAACTTATGATTATTAAAATTTTCAAGTTCAACTCCATATATCTTGTCTGTTTGTGGAAGCGCGAGAATAATTTGATGAGAGATGTATACACAGAAACCTCTCGTGTTTGGGAAGTTTAAGGGCGGTGTTGGTTTAGTTAAAGTGGTGATATAGCCCCCCCCCCCCCCCCAAAAAAAAAAAAAAACAAAACAAAACAAAAGAAATGCCTGTGGCGATTATTCCTGTGACTGTGAAAGAAGAAAGCTGTTACAAAGAGCTAGTTGAGAATATCATCGAGTATTTTTTAAGGATGAAATACCTAGTAATTGTGTAGTTTTAGTTAACATTTTTTTTTTGGTAGAGTTTTAGTTAATATTTTGGTACTTCGTTATTTGGGACATGATTATACTACCAACTACTAAACAACATGAAGTAGAAACAGCACCGCATAACTAACGGACTTAAGCAGCTCAACCACCATCAATGGATATAATGCGGAAAATTCACTTGCATGTATTTTATTTTGATACCGTTTTACATCTCGAGAAATTCTTAAATCTTAAATATGCCTTTGTACCTATTATAATACGATGCCATTTCAAAAGCTCTAGCTTTTCGACGTAGACTACTACTCATCTCTAAAATTTTTGAATGTGCGCGGTTTAGTCAAGCATTTGTTATTGCAGGTGTAAATAATTTAAATTGCTCCTTATGGAATCCAAATATACATGAAGTAAAACAGTACTACGTACGAAGCTATACGTGAGATTTGGTAACAATAGAAAAACCTTTATGCCTTTCTTTTTTGAATGAAAACTGAATACTATTAGATTAAAACATCAAGGAAATCCAAAGAAACAACAACCAAGGACAATCTCTCATCAGTCTCCACCTTCAGCAGAAACGAAAGGCGGTGCCTGATCACAAACAACATGCATAGAATCTTCAATGGCACCACATCCCACAGGGACATGGTTATGTTCAGAAATCCCTCTGCGTACTCTGAAGTCCATAGTGTGTAGCTCCCATTTTTACCTCTCTTTGATAAATAATATCACGCTACGAAATGAATAGAAAATGATAAGAAATGAACATTGTAACCTATACGAACACAGTGCTGGACTAGAAAGAAGAACTTCATTTTAAATCGGAATGTTTTGGAATCCCAAATACGAGTTCATATGCATGAGCATGCAATTCTAGTTGTTTTCCAAACTTCATCTGGACTATAATGGTATAGCTGTTTGTGAAAGACTTATCAAAGATGACAAGGATAATTAGATTAAAAAAATTTTTTAAAAATTTTAATTATCAATCCAACACAATAATTGAACTTGAAGAAATTTTGAAAGAACGTGCTAAAATGCAAAAATTTTTAAAGCAAATGTTTACTCTTATTTTATAGAGTTTTTGTCATTCGTTAAATGTAAATTCAATCATAACTACCCTCTCTCAACTATTATCAAAAATATAATAACTTTTACCATAAGAAATTAAAAATATAATAATGTTTACTCAACTGTTATGTGCTCTGCTAATTCACAAGGTTCCAAAAGAATATTTTAATATCACCTTATTTGACAGGCAACTTGCGAAGTGTAAAAGCCTTTTGATTTTTAACATAACCTGGTATCTGGTATCTGATTTTAATATTATGTTTTTGGTTTCCTTACACAGTTTCCCGTAGCCTTTTTTGCAAAAAAAAAAAAAAAATTCATCCAGACAAACGTTCCCTTCAATCATGAAATCAAAGTTGAAAGAAATTAATATCTCTTTCAGAACTGACTCTCTTGAGCGGCAGTATTGGTTATTTGCAGTTGAAATGCAAAAAAAGTACAAGCTTGATTGAACCCAGACTCAGATGATTTCAGAAAGCTCACGAAGACGCTTCTCCAACTCGTCCAATTTATCACTCCACTCACTCTTAACACGCAGGGGACGAACATCGGCATAGTCCACAATACTGAGACTGTTCACAGAGGACGACTCCTCTTCCCTCCTCTGCTGCTGCTGCTTCTTCTTCTTCTTCTTCGTACGCTCGCTCGCTCTCTGCAATGCCCAAAGCACATCCGACCCACTAATCTGAGGTGGGTTGGATGGAAGAGCCGTGACGAGGGTATGCCCTAATTCGCCGACTTGGCCAGGGGAAACGCCGTCGTTCTGAAGGGTCGTCAGAGAGCGGCGGCGATTGGGCCGGGCGACGGCGGTGGCAGTGCATTGTTTGGGATTGGAAATGAGGATATGGAAAGGAGAAGGTGGAGCGACGAGGAAGAAAGAAGACCACATGTCGTATTTCCGGTTTAGGGCTTTCTGGTCTTCTGCTCTATTTCTACCCCTCGATCCTCAGGAAATTAAGAAGGAAAAATGATATAAATTAGCTTTCCACCGCAAAATATAATAATTATTTTTAATAATTAAATATTTGTTTGAGATTTTTTTTTAAATGACATGTTTATCCTCTCTCGGCCATCTTTTTTCTCTGTCCTCCACATCTCTCCCCTTCCTCACTGAATTGCCTTGAAATTTTACGTTATGTTTGAAAAATATTTTTAAGAAGGAATGAAATAAAATAGGGTGGTTAAAAGATATAAGTTATTATTTATGATTTTTTTTAAAAGAAGTGTGGAATGATAAGGAAGGGCCCCTAAAGCCTCCTTTTATCATCCATAGTTCAATATTTTTTATCCTCCCAAATTGGGAGATCAAAGATGAAATGATACAATATAATTATTTTATTTATAAAATTACTTCTGACCTCTTATTCTAATAAAAAAAATCTCATGTTATTTTCATTTTTTGACCATCTCTCTTGCTTCCTGCGACAGTTGCATGTGAGTAGGGTTGTGTTAGGTATCACCCCAGCTTGATGTGCACTTGGATACTAGACTAGCTTGATTGATTCGAAAATATTTTTACAAGTATGTTTTAAAAAATATATAAAAAAGTTTTCCTTAAAAGATTATTATTACTATTATTATTTAAAATATATTCTTTATAAAACTAGTATTAGAATCAAAAGTAATTTTGTAAAAGTTCAAATGGACAACAATTGCTAATTATTTTTACATAATAATAAGTTAAAAATAAATTTTAGATTTTGGAAAAGATTTAAAAAATTGTAATAATAAAAAATGTCTAAAATATCTTTAAAATAATATAATTCATGCTAACTTTTAATAAAAAATAATGCTATAAGATAAATATTATTCACAAAAATTTTAAAAAATAAAATAAACTTGTACATGTTCGGACAATGTAAGGTTGGACTCCTATCGATGTCTGGCCCTATGTGCCTAAATGCTTTTGGCAAGGTTGGGCTAATTTGGCATTCAGATATAGTGCATAATCATATCTCTCGCCATATATTTCTTGTTCTTGCCATTTTTCTTTGTCCTGCTTTTCAACACTACGACTCTGTTGTGTTTTCCTTTTGCACAATAGGAATATTTTGCATAAATAACTCTATTACGTACTTTTTTTTATTTTTAATTCTTGAATATCTTATTTAATCATTAATTTTAATTATTATTATTTTTTGTAGCATAAATATTATAATTATTTAACGAACATTATTATTTTTCTTAAATCGTTCTATTTCATTTATTTTATAATAATTTTCAAACATTGATCATGTAAAATCATTTCTTCCCATCATAAAACTCCAAAGCAATGAAAAATTTTATTTTATTTCACCCTACTCTGCTCTATTTCATTTTATTTTATTAATAATTATTTCTTTTCATCCAATCATAAACTCCTAAACGTACTAATGGCATTAATTTATTTTCACAGCTGAAGCTGTCATAAAAGTGAAGGCAGGAAAAAGCATTTTAGAACCAATTCCAGTGAATATATTTAAAGGGTACTTAAATGTTATCATATCCTGAAACAATAGAAATCCCATTTTATTCCAAATATATTTTGTTTGTTTGTTTGTTTGTTTTTAAAACAAAGCTGTCAGAGAGGTATGTTAGAATCAAATACACGTGAATATATGATGTGAAGAAGAAAGGCGCTGAGTTGTTGGTCGATGGAAGCGATTTTCGAGTTGCCGCGAGGATCGAAGAGTAAACCTAACTCTGAAGCAATGGAAATCTGAAGCCCTTATTGTCTTCAAGCACGGGTATGGGTGATACCCTGAGGATTCGGATTTGGTGCGAGTAGTAGATCCTTGCACCCCATGCCTACCGCTGCGTGGCGTTGTTGAGCAACGAGAGTGATCTACCGCTGGGTGGAAGGCGTACGAGACAAGGAGAAGAAATCAAGAAATGGATACAATGGAAGTCTGAATGCATCCAATGAAGAAGAAGAGAATGGCTGTGGGAGACAGGAAAGAGGAGATTGAGGGAGGGACAAATATGTCATTTCTTAAAAATTGAAACAAGTATTTATTGTCATCCTTCCAATTAACAAATTTTGTCATTTAATTCGTTTCATTTCACCTTCACAAAGAAAATGAAATACAGAGAAGGAGACCAATGGCTGGAAATCTACTTGGACATCCCTTTTATTTTGGGAAAATTTTAACAAAGGGTCCAGGTGTGGCTTAGTTATTAACTAATCCCAAAAACATTTGAAACTTCAGTTTAGTTTAAGAAGATTGAAGTAAAAATAATTTTAACAAAAAAAGACTAAAATACTCTTTAATTGTTAACTTTATTTGAGGTGCAAAATTATTAGCTGTTAATTTTGTTAACTTTACTTATTAATTTATCAACATAAATTGTAAATTCCATATCTTCATCTATCAATAATCATATAAGACTTGAACATCAATTGTTCAATTAGTTTGTCAAATAAGTAGTAGCATTAGTTGTTAATTTGCTAACTTTACAAGTAATTTACAACTGACATTAAAAATTAACAAGTAAAGTTAGCAAATTAACAATTAATGTTGCTGCTTGTTTGACAAATTGATTGTACAATTGATATTCAAGTCTTGTATAATTACTAATATATCAAATCATGTAATTTATAACTCATATTAATAAATTAATAGGTAAAATAAAAAAAATTAATAATTAATGATTCCGTATCTCGGACAAAATTAACAAGCGAATGATATTTGGATCTTTTCACTATTAAAATTATTTTCATTTAAATTTTTCTAGATTAAAATAAAGTTTCAGATTTTTATTTTTTTTAGGATCTGTTAACAATTAAGTTATATCCCTGACCTTTAGTTGAAATTTTCCCAACTAAAATGCCAAACAAGTGTTTATTGTCATCCTTCCCATTAACAGGTTTCCAAAATTTTGTCATTTAATTCCTTTCATTTCACCTTCACAAACCCCCCCTCTTTTTTGGGATTAAATCTACTTGGACATCTAAATATGAGGTCCCTAATGCAATTGTGGCGGTCACTATCTTTCACTTTCTCCTACATTGTCTGAGCGTCACCCTTGTGGCCTACAATTTCCATATTGTCTATTCAGTTTTAAAATAGAAACTTGTCAGTTTAAAATACTTTTTCCTGTTTTGTTTATAAGATATTTATTATTTCTTTTATGTGTTTTAAAAAATTATTATGTTTTTTAATTTTTATTTTGACTTTTCAATTATATTCTTATTAAAAATAAAGAAAAAATGACAGATTACCTTGTTATTTGTGTAATACTTTTTTAAATAAGAGTAAAATGAGAAGATTATTCCAAATCTTTGTTCAAGACCTTATAATAAGAATTACTTTTTGTATTTGCAAAATATTTTATAAATAAAATCAAAGGGAGTAAATGTAACATCTCAAAATTTAAAATAGAATTAATTAAATTTCATAAATAATTAAATTAATTAATCTAGGTCCTAATCAAATTAATTGGGATAATTGGATGGCCATTGGATCCATTAGATCCTTATGAGATTGAAAAAGGGATTAGAGGAGCTATTGGGCTACTTTGGATCCAAATTAATGGGTTAAGTTAGGGTTTTCAAAATGCGCCATTCATGGCGATTGATAGTGTCATTAGCCATTGTGGACGTGTTGAAATTTAAAATGTCATATTAGCATTTTAAATAGCAAACAAAAAACAATTTGGAGAGAGAGGCCAAGAGGAAGCAAGAGTTCTTTACTAGAGTTTACTTTCCCCGCATTTTGGGATGTTTTAAGGCCATCTATGTAACATTTTAAAAATTTACCCCCTAATAATAATCCTAATTAAAGGTAATTAAGTAGGATTTACATGATGTGTGGTCAGAGGGGACTGATGAGTATTTTTAGTTGGAATTTCATATATAAATGGGGTCTAAAGTGAAATCGAGACATTTAGACATTAAAAATTGAAGAAAAATAAGTAGAAAAGCATCTATGCTACATGCCGCGGCGTATGTGTGGTGTGCTGCAGCGTATAAAGCCAGAATCCATGAATATCCCTCTGTGTATCACATGCCGCATTTGTGAAATTGAATACTTATTATTACCAACATTAAGGGTCATACTATTAGATGATATTTTATCCCTTGCATGTAGCCATTTGTAGGCTTGGACCTTTCAATTAGTGGCCTCTTATATATTTTAGAGTCAAGGCCTAGTGTGCAAGTATGTGATGGAGTTATGATTGTCAAATGAATTAACATGTTGAGGTGTTAAGCATGCATTGTTTGATTGTGATTTATATTATTTATTGTTGTAATGACTAGTGGCTAGTTTTTAGAGGAGAAACACTTAGTTGATAAGTTGTAAGTGTGTCTACCATGTTATAACCTCAAGTGTCCAAGATCCTCGTTTGGTATTAGATAGAATCATAACCAGAGCTACTAGTTAGATTTCTTAATTATATGCATGTGAACGCTTGGATCATCTTAATTGCAGGTTTGGTCAATTTTATTATATTATTTGAAAGTTAGGATTTTGAGCTGCTTAATTTTGTGTTGCTGAGAGGTTTCTGTTGTAGTGAATGTGTTTTTACCCATAGTGAATGTATCGCATGGTGTTAGCTATGGCGAAAAATGCTATTGGTCTCGCCAAGTGGTCTCTTTATCGCAATCAGTGATGAATGAATGCCTTAGTTTTGATAAATTATCTTTTTAGGGTTAGGCATAGGGGATGTATTACGGGCTGCAACGAATGCACCTAGTCTTCCATGTTGGGCATACGTATCCTTATTATGAAGGATCAAAGTTCATGTAATTTGAAATAAAAATAAGTATCTCTTGGTTGAGGTTTATTTTTGAAAAATATTAATTATTAATTTTTTAATAAAATAATTTTAAAGTTGGTCTATATTTTTTTATTCATGAAGATAATTTATTTCTTTATTTGTAACAAGATTTTGGGAAATAATTTTGGAAAAACATTTTGATAAGATTTATGAAAGCTTCATACACTCACCTTTCAAAACATGATTTATTTTTATTTTATTTATTTTTGGAAAATTTATTTTTACTTAAGAATAAAATATTTTGAAACATGTGCTTGCAATAATTTATCACTGTGTTGACTAATTGACTTATATGCCCATGAGGACTCTAAAAGTCTCACACAGTGAATGGTTTTATAACTATGTGAAAATGATAATTTATCACTATATAGAATAATAAATTAATTAAGTTACAATCTCATGAAAACTCTAAAAGTCTCATGCAACAAATAATAAAATCATGATAGATACAATGATGAATCAATAAACATTTACTTGAGATTTAAATATTGAAGTTCCTTTCATCAGAATTTCTCACATATACTTTCCATATCACAATATTGAAATTTCGCATATATATATATATATATATATATTACAATCAAAGGTCTTTATAAAAACACTTTTCTTAACCAAGCACAATATTAGAGTCAAAAAAATAGTGGACATAGGTGCAAGCAACAAACTCAAAGCCAAGGAGTCAAAACTCAAATATTATGGGAGTCAAAACTCAAATATTATGGGATTGTACATACGCAGTAAGAAAAACTAAAGAGAATCCAAAATCAATCCTTAGGTTGAAAGACAAAAGACAAATCAAACGGGTAATCGAGTATATGAACAACCAAACAAGACATGACTCGCTAACTCACATGAAGACGAAAGAATTAAATTAAGGACAATAGAGGATGGAGGAGTAAAATCCTAAATCTCAAAGGTGATCCTATGATTTCCATTTGTCCCCACTAATATGTAGGCTAAAGTTTACATGAGATGAGCTTGACTATAATTGTCTTCGTCAATTAAGTCTCGTCTCTCTATTTCCTGTCTTGTTATTTTTTATCTCACAATTGTTACCTTAGCTTCCTACTCCCTCTCTTTTGCTTCCTTCAATATAGGCTCCTACATTTAGGTATATTGTGATCTTTTTAATCTATGTCAATAATTTTATATATTCTTTAATTATTACTATTTCGAGATTAGCATTTGTTATCTTATTTATTATTATATCCTAGTTATTATATTATTTTGGGATATTCAAATCTTAATATTAGATATTATATTATATTATATTATCTTGAAATTTTTAAACCATAATATTAGATATTAGATTATATTTTAATTATTATATTATTTTAAAATATTCAAACTTTTATAGCTCATTATTATATTAGATTGTGATTTGATTTTGTTATATTGGTGTCATTTTTAATTATCTTCATATCAAAGACCTTTTAATTTTTTATTTACTTATTTTCTTTTTATAAAGATGTTTTCCTATTTTCCATTATCTTTTTTTATTCTTTTATATATTTTTTACAGTCTTTTATCATACTTATTTATTATTTATCATTTTTATTATTTTATTTATTTTTTTTTTCTTATTGGGGTTTGTATAATTTTATTTCTTATTATTTATTATTTTTTACTCTATATATATATACATATATATATACATATATTATGCTATTATCTATTAAGGTCTGGACAATTATTATTATTGCTTTTTATTTTTCAAATTTATTATTGTTTTTTAAATGTTGTTTTATTCACTTATGAGGGTCCGGATAAGATACAATATTTACATTTGTCCCTCTTTAATTGTTGAAGGAGAAGGAAGCAAATAAGTTCTATATTTTTACCAGACTTTTTACCATAAGTTCATAATTAACATCAATTCAAAATAAATTTTATATTTTTGTTGAATGAGAAGGAAGCAAATAAGTTGTATATTTTTGTTGAAAATTCTCAATTTAAATGGCATATTTGCCTTGAAACTTTTTCTCCAAGGATGCTTGACACCTTAAACTTTTTTTATAGCATTTTTGCCCCGAACTTTTAAAAAAGAGAGCATTTTTGCCCCATTATTAAGTATGAAAAATGTTGACCGTTAAATTAAAATTTGACCAAGAGTCAAATGATATATTTGCCTTGAAACTTTTTTACAGGGGTATTGGATATCCTGAACTTTTGTTTAAACTTATTTGCTCTAAAACTTTTAAAAATAGAACAATTTTGTCCTCCCTCCTCCTCCTCCCGCCTTACCAGCAAACCCCCACATTACTATGAATTGAAGTCTAAATGTGAAGTTGGAAAAAATGGGTGTCTAAGATTTGTAAGCCTTGGAAGAAGTTTTGCATTTGGCTCGGTCCTTTTGCCTCCCGGAAATGGCCACTCAATCCCATAAGGTCATCGCTTTGTCCATCAAAGGCAAAATTCACCATTCTTAACTTTCCTTAGAATGTCATCGTCCTCCCCCAACTTACCACGTTCTCCTTGGATAACATTTAAGCTGTTGCTTTTGCCACGGCCGCTACGGTCAAATTTGATGCTATAAAGCCCTCAGAAGAGTCCAAATTAAGGTCAGAGTTCGTGGAGTCATCATAATTAAGTGAGATAGTGGAATTGTCAAATATAGAAGGAGAGGGCTTCCACATGGCCAAGTTTGTATGGATTGATTTAATAGATAGTTGATTGTTTTCAGGTATAGGTATGGGTTCAAGTGATTTGGTACTGCTTGCTATTGTTATTACTTGTTGTTTATGGAATTGTTCTTGCTATTGTTATTGATGTGAATGGAGGTGTTCTTGCTATCTAGATGGTCTTTTTTAAGTTTTTTGTTTAAATGTCGCGTGGCTACATGTGGTAATTAAAGTCAAAATAATTTTCAATACTAATAGCAGAGTAAAATTGCTCTCTTTTTGAAACTTCTAAGACAAATAAACTCTAAACAAACGTTCAGGATCCCAATGCCTCTAGAGAAAAAGTTTCAGGACAAATATACCATTTAACTCTTGTCAAACTTTAATTTAACTATCAACATTTTTTATATTTAATGGCAAGGCAAAAATGCTCTTTTTTTAAAAAAAAAATTTAGGGTAAAAATTCTTCAAAAAATGTTTAGAATGCCAAACGTTCTTGAAAAAAAAAAATTCCAAAACAAATATGTCATTTAACCCAAAATTCTTTATTAGATTGGGCTAGGGAACTTGGGATAATTTAAGTAAAAAAATAGAATAAAGTTTCTTTACCAACAAAATATATATATATATATATATAAGTAGGAGAAAGATTTCAATCAAATTTGATTAAGGTTTGATTTAGGTTCTTAGCGCCTAAAACCGAAACCTAAATCAAATTGTTCGATTTATAAGGTTTGAAATTTGAAGTAACCTAGATTACCAATCAGTTTCGGTTAGTTCTTTTATGCTTGGTTTGGTCCTCTCAATTTAGTTTGGTTTTGAACATCTTTAATGAAGATTATCTAGGTCGCAATGCAATTCCAAAGACCAATAGTTAAATTGTGAACTAAGTCTGAAAAATTTGCAATTTTGCATTCCCCGTGCTCGCCAATTTCATGTCCTGGAATAAAGGCAGCATCACTTACCAACAACCCCCCCCCCACCAAAAAAAAAAAAAAAAAACTCCCGCGGGGTGAAAAATTAGAATTACATCAAATTCTGCCTTTAAAAAAGCACGCTGCTCCCCCCCCCCCAAAAAAAAAAAAAAACAACAACAACACACTATCATTTTTTCTAAGTTTTTCACGATTAATTCACTGATTATACTATCATCATATCAGTCTTAACTCTTAATAATGAAGTAATTAACAAATAATGATTATTTAAAAGTAAAAAGAAAAGAGCAGCAAACATTAACATCCACGTGAAGCTTTAGCACCAATAACATCATTCCACGTGGCAATTCAAGAAGCGGGGACTTTAACCGGATACTTATCCACCGAGTCGTCCCAGGGGTTTCCCCGCCAGTCTCCCACCTGAACGCCCCGTATTGCCCTCCACACGGCGCTGTTACACTTAAAACCAGACCCGAAAGCTATCTGCCAGACCCGGTCTCCGCTACCTACCCGACCCATGGCCTCCGTGTACGCCAGCTCGTACCAGAGTGAACTGCTCGACGTGTTCCCAAACCTGTGCAGCGTCATCCTCGACGGCTCCATGTGCCACTCGCTCAGTCGCAGATTCTTCTGCAACTCGTCCAGCACCGCCCTTCCTCCGGCGTGTATGCAGAAATGCTCGAACGCCGTTTTGAAATCTGGAATGTACGGTTTCACCTTCGTCTTCAGAAGCTTCCTCCTCATCAACGACACAAAGAACATGAACTGCTCCGAAAACGGAAGAACCACCGGCCCAGCGTTGTTATGTTTGTCTTCAAGGCGTCTCCCGCCACTGCCATTAGCTCTCTCGCTAAAGAAACACCCACCGTTCCTTTTTCGTCCTCTCTCTGGTACACGCAATTGAAGCTCTTGTCGTCGGATCCTTTATGGGTTCTCACCGTGTGGATTAGCTCGTACTTGGACCGGCAACGATCCGAGGATTTGTTGGAGAGGAGGATGGCGGCGCCGCCCATGCGGAAGATGCAATTGCAGAGGAGCATTGAACGGTCGTTTCCGAAGTACCAATTGAGGGTGATGTTCTCCGTGCTGACGACAATGGCGCAGGAATTCGGGTTCGCTTTTAAGAGATCTTTGGCTAAATCGATTGAGATCAGTCCGGCACTGCACCCCATCCCTCCCAGATTGTAGCTTTTGATATTAGTTCTGAGCTTGTAATGATTCACAATCATGGCGGAGAGAGACGGGGTTGGGTTGAACAAGCTGCAGTTCACTATCAGTATATCAATGTCTCTGGGTTGAACCCCTGTTTTCTCGAACAGAGCATCCAAAGATCCGAACATGACGGCCTCTGCCTCGGACCGGGCTTCCTTCATGTTCAAATTCGGCGGTCTGGCCGTAATCCCACTTGGCAAGTACGTCTCGTCACCTAAACCGGCCCTACTCGAGATTCGTCTCTGGAATTGAAGGGTGTCTTCTTCAAAGCCCCCGCTTTCCTCCGTCATCTTGAGGAAACCGTCCACTGATATTTTCCGGTCCTGAGAGGGTTTGTAGCAGGCGAAGTCGACGAGGTAGACCGGTCTGGACCGGGTGGCCCAGTAGAGGCCGAAGAGGAAGAGGAGAACGGCGGAGGCCACGAGCCTGGTGATGGCATCTAGGCTATCGAGCTGAACCGTGCGGGTGGACCAAAGCCGGGACAAGTCGGCGAGCTTGAGACCGGTGAGCTGGAGCGAAAGAGAGAGGAAGAGAGGTAGGATGAAGGCGAACTTGAGGACGGTGGCCGCGTTGCAAGAGTAGCCATAGCCCAACTTGACGTACTTGAGCTTGACGGACTGTAGGAAGTCCGGTAAGTGTCGCCGGATTTTGATGACGATGGAGGATGAATCCTTGAAGTCCATCTCAGCGTTAGTCTCTCGTTATCCATTTCTACGTTCCTGCCTGTGCTTCCCATTCTCTCTCTCTCTCGCTCTCTCTGCGTCTCGTTCTCTGCGGTTCTGTGCGCTGCGTAATGGAATGTGTCTGTGATGGTCTTTGAGATTGAACGTGCGTCTGTCTGTAGATTTTGATTGTCGAAGAGGCGTCCCTTCTTTTATAAAGCTGAGTTCCACTTTTTCACCCCCCCGGAAGGTACTAATTTTGAAATGAGTGTTGCACTTTGCTGGAAGCTGAACTACAATTGACCGCTGAAGTAAGATAATCCCTCTCATCTCATCTCATCTCATCTGCAAAACATATTTCAAAAGATATATTTAATTTTATTTATAAGTTATGGTATAATTTTTTAAGTAATACTCCCTCCATTTCTATTTATAAAAAAAGTATTAATTTTTATTTATTTTTTTATATAAATAAAATCACCTATTTTAATAAATATTTATTACACATTTTTTAAATCATCTCTTATAATTAACATTAATAAAAATAATTAATACATACTTATGTTAATTAATATAGGGTATTTTAGTTTAATTTTTTTATTTTCAAACATAATAATTATGATTAACTAACTTTCTTAAATTGTGTAATACAATTTTTTTTTTATATATAAAAACAGATGAAGCATTTAAAAGATATTTTTGAAATTAGGCTTCATGAAAGGAAAAAAATAACATGGCTTCACTTTTTAAATTTGTTAGACAAAAACATATTTGTAAATATTATATATATATTATATATTTTTTTTTGCATCAGTATCAATTAAAAATGATTTATAAAAAGTTTCATAAGAGCAAATGATATACGGCAATTAAAAAAATCGTCTTCTTTATAAATTTTAAATATTAATCTATTATCAAATATTGGGTTATAGTAAGTGATAATGATTGGTCCTATAAAACGTGAAATTATGATTACTATATTTTTATCGAAATACTATTGGAGGACAATTTATGAAAAAAGCATGCTATCTTTGTTTTATAGATTTTCTGTTCGCAGAAGACGTCCTTTATTCTACATTTAAATATTGGATTGGAAAATTCAATGATAAAAAATTAAAAATTGCGGTAATGGCATATTAGTTGATGGACGTAATAGAAGGGCTACACGCTAAAATAAGTTAGGCCACGTCATGGACTGAGGTATGGACCAAGGATACGAATGTATTAACCGCACAAGAAAGGTATTAATTACAACTGTTCATGAATATTGGGGAAAGTAGTTTCGGGAGAGATTTATAGCTCAACCACTTGTGGAAGCCAAAGGAAAAACATAATATAGAATTAAAAACCAAAATTTGCTCAACCAAAAAAAAAAAAACCAAATTTCGATTTCAGTTTTCACATTCCTAAGGGAAGAAAATGTACTAAGCTCCTGTTAAAAACTTACAGCTTGACCCACTTCAGATTCAACTTAATTTATTTATTAAATAGATTTAGATTAAGTGTAGGCCTTTGATTAGGCTTTTTTAATTAAATAGGTCAGACATATTTTCATAAAATATAACCTATAAGCCTAACAGTTCAGTTTATTTACATATATTATTATTACTATTATTATTTAGTTTATTGCATACACATAAGTTTTACCATTTTATTTTTAATCAATTTACTTTTTTTTTATTTTTAGTTATATTTTTAATTACTTCGGACTTATACATTAATTTTAATGCTGTATTATATTATAATTGATAATTCAAGTTATGTGTTCGTGGGGGGATTTTAATAGTTCTGAAACATAATTGAGACATTTAAAACTAATACGTAAGTTTATTTAAAAAATTTACTTTTAAGTAAGTTTTTAAATAAACTTTTAAGTCAAGCTAAATTTTAGACAGACTTAAATATGAGCCATGATAAAAAAAAAAGCCTTATAAAAATTTAGGTCGGGTTTAAATCTTTAACTCATGCTACACAATTTAAGACCTATTTGATCAAATCTAATAGCTGAAGGTTTTGAGAGAACATGACACAAGAAATGAAAGAAAGTGTGCAGCGGATTTACTTCTTAAAGAAAAAGCTTAATGAGACAGTACATGATACCATCAATTTCCATGCTCTGCCCACACGGCTGGGAAGCAGGAAGAATGATTCTTTAATTTTTTTTTTTCATTTTTTCTTTCTCCAAGGGAATACAAAAATATTTTTTCCAAATTATAATATAAGATATTTTTTATAAGTCTTACTTAGTTCAAAATATAAAATATTAAATTACTTTTATAATTATTTTTTAATTATATCCTTACTTTATTTATTATTTTTTTAAAAAATAATGCATTGAAATTTTAATTATCATTATTAAAATATTTATATATAATATTTAATGATGGTAAAATTAAAAAGATTTAAATTTTTTTAAAAATTAAGATTTCAACTAATCTCTTTTTAAAACTATAAATTAATTATCAATGTTTTATGTTTTAATTTAGGAGGAGTAAAACTAAAAGTGGTGGGGGTGCTTATGGGAAATACAAGAAAGGTGGCGGTGGGGATCCAATTAAAAAGAACAGTGTCGTGTTGTGGAGGCATATTGCATGCAAAGGAGAGGCCGTTAGTTGTTGGTGGCTGGCCATCAAAGAAACAATTAATGGTCCTTATATGCTGACCTGTCAAAACCTCGATCTCACCTTGACAGCACCCGCGGATTTAATTTAAGAAAAATATCAATCAAAAATCACTGAATTATATTTATATTAATTAATGATTAATATATTTTAAAATTTCATTACAATTCTTGATCATTTACTAATATTAATTTTTATGTAAAATGACTAAATTATTCCTAAAATATAAAATAATAAAAGGCACCCTTACTATCATTGAGACCCTGCCACCGGTGAGGTTGCTGAGGCCCCTATAGCAAACAGTTAGTTGTTAAAGATCCAGTGCTATTAACACTTTTTAAGGAAAAAAAAAATGATAAAAGTGGCTAAGGAGTGTTTAATCTTACAACCCTTTGATCACTTAAAAAGCTTGATAACTCATTTAATTATATATAGCAAAATATAATATATGTAGTAATTCAAGTTTCTAAATTACTTTCATATTATAATAGAATGGTGTGTTATTAATTTTAAAATGGTGCTTGTTTTTTTACTAATATTATTTTTTAATTTGACGTGATCAATTAAAAATTGAGAGTTTTAAAACTTCATACATTTTATTTGTTAATGTTTGAATGTATCATTGTTAATCATGGAATAGATATTGTTAAAATATAAATGAATATTGATTGATGAATAACTAAAACTTGTATAATTAAGCTAATTCTATTAGCTTTTTGTTAAAATACAAACAGAATGTTATTAATCTTAAAAAAAGTATTATTAAAACCTGAATAGATATTTTTTTTTATAAAGGAATAACACCTATAATTAAGTCCATCATATTTATTTTTCTAACTTGTTAAAGTTTGAATAAATTGTTATTAATTTCAAATTCATTGTTGTGAAGACCTAAATAGATACTTATTGATAAATGACTAACATTTGTACAATTATGTTCATCCTATTTATTTTTTTCTAACTTGTTAAATCATGAATGAATTGTTGTTAATTTTAATTTGTTGTTGTCAAAACCCAAATGGCTTGTTGTTTATACATTTGTTCCATTACACTTTTGTTTTTAATCATCAATAAGTATCTATTCGGGTTTACATAATAATGCATTTGTAATTAACAACAATTTTATTTGAGGCTTTAACAAATTAGAAAAATGGATAAGATAGACTTTATTGTTCAAATGATAGTTGCTCATCAACAAATATCCATTTAGATTTTAACAACAACTCTTTCAAAATTAAAGATAATTCATTCAAGTTTTTACAAAAAAATTGATAGGATGGGCTTAATTTATTAACAAGTATCCATTCGTGTTTTTGATGACAATAATTTTTGATTAACAACACTACCTTCAAACTTTAACAGGTAAAATGTATAAAGCTTTAAAGTTCCTCATTTGTAATTAATGATGTCAGATTAACAAGTAATATTAATAAAATAATAAGTGTCATTCTAAAATTAATAACACACTGTTATGTTATAAGATGAAAGTGGTTTAGAAAATTGAATTGCTACATTTTTTTTGGCCATGCATAAGTTTTTTAGGTAGCTAAGAGGATGTAGGATCAAACCTTTTTAGCCACCTTTAAAATTTTTAAAAAACCAAGTGTCACTGGCATCAAAACTGCAGCCATAGGCAACCTCGCTGGCGATAGGGGCTCCGGTGACCTTATTGGTAGCACTTGGTTGGATGGTGTAAATGATAGTGGGGGCTAACTTTTTTTTATTTTATATTTTAGGAGCAATTTAATTATTTTACTTAAAAATTAATATTAGTCAAGGAGTAAGGGATTGCAGTTAAATTTCAAAATCTATTAGTTCTTGACTGATACAAATATGCTACGGTGGTCCTTGATTGATATTTTTTCAAAATCTTTCTATAAATCAATCTCATCACAATATTAATTACCCACGAAACGAAACATCGATCAAGGGGATCTTTCCATTTCAATTTGATTCACGTTTGATTCATATCAGCGCCAGTCAAGACTCCAGGAGTTGGTTGTAATTATATATTGATGGAATCTTCATATTCTGACATTATTCAATAATTTCCTAATAAAATTTCATCGTCAGTTGCATAATTCTTAATGATCTTCCTATATTTCATGAATTATTGATGACTTCTTGTAGTATACTTTACCATCATTTAATTTGAAAATATACCCAAAGTATTTCGTCAGGCCAATATATCATGCCATCGGCCAAGGAGCAAGGACTGAGGACTAGGTTACCGGTTATTGAAAAAAAAAAAACCTCATTACAAAGGAATATTGCATTGAGGGATTTTCAAATTTTTTGACGTAGTATTAAATATTGGGTTAACTTGAATGAATTAGTGTAATAATTGATTCAATAAAATACTTTAATTTAATTATAGTTTTAACTATTAACCCTTTGAATTAGCTTGATTGATTTAATAACCTGTTTGATTTTTAATAATTTAGCTTGTGTTATATGTCAAATAATGCATATGGCAGCATATCTCGACAAAAATAATTAAAGATGAATTTGCTTTGTGCATCTGTGTGCAGTGTGTGTTTATTAGCTTGTATCATAAGAAATTCAAGATAGAAAAAAGTGAGAGAATATATAATTACGTAACACAATTCAATATTTTTCTTTAATTT